TGACAGAGATGATTTGCTGTGGAGGTCAGAAACCAATCTCACTTTTGAATCCATGTAATTGCAAAGCTTGTTTTTTTGCAGGGTTTCATTATATGACACAAAAGAACATTAATTTTTATATTATAAGCTTTACACCCCACTGCTGGGTTGTTTTTATTTTTATTTTATTTTATTTTTTTAAGGCTAGTCAAATGAAGCAGTGGGAGTGCAGAACAAACAAAAAAATCTGTAACTGGTTATGATCAATCAGTTGTAAACACCACTGCACTGAGAACAACCACACTGCTTTATTTCTGAAGGGCATTTATTTCTCTTTGAAAGGAAGAGACCCATGTTAAAAGCTAATTCATTTAATGGTGATCAGAAAAAAATTATCTCAATTTCTTAAAAAACACATTGCAGCAATCGAAAGTCGAACTATTCTAAAGCTATTCTCTATCACTAACTTGGATACTAGGTAGTGTATTTTATAAATCGCTCCTACCTTACTGCTTCATCTGAGACCCAGCTAATACTGAGTTAATATACATAAAGCACTTAGAACAATGCCTGGCCATATCTAGTGCTGTGTAAGTATTAGCTTTTATTATTACTAGCAGCAGTTCCACTGAGCAGCTCCATACTGACAGTATCCTAGGAAATAATTCTTAATGTTGTCATTCATTTTCAGTCTTAACCTCTTTTCTCTTGGGTATAAAGTTATGACTTATAAAATACTGTGGTTATAAAAGTTTTCAGGTGTGTGTTAACACGCTCACGTGCTCTCTAGAACATAAGGATGTTAGATCAGGGCAGAAGTATGCCAAATAATTCTCCCTCTTCCTAAAACACAGGAGCAGATAACATTGGCTATTTCCTACTCCTTAAAACTCTCTTCTCTTGATTTTCATGACATCACACATTTGAGTTCCCTCCTACTTCTCTGGCTGGGGGTTTTCAGCTTCCTTTATCAGTGCCTTCTTTATTCCATCATGAAATTATGAAGTTCCCTAAGGCTCTGTCCTAAGCCCTCTTATCACTCTATACTCTCTCTTCCTAAACAATCTCATCCCTTCCACAGATTTATAACAAATATATATTTTCAGACATACATGTTCAATTTATATCTCAAATCTGTTTTGCTGGCTCTTCAATCTCAACTTTAATCTGCAATAAAATTCACTGCCCACCTCCCTGTTGTCGGCAGAATTTTAAGACACCCTCCCCTCTTGCCCATGACCTTCACAACCTGATGGTTACTCCCATGATTATGCTATAT